TCGTCTCAGGACGGCGTCCCCACCCTGAGTCTCAGGCCTTGACGACGATCCCATCCTGACAGCGGAACGACCTACTCGACGATCCACCACAGCTCTCGGAGTTTGCGTCCCGGCTCGCTGGCGTGACCTACCTTGAGTAACGCGCTCCGAGTCCCCCGGAGTCGAGGTAGGGCTTTCCAGGAGCGCTGCACTTCCGCTGGTCTCCGAGCCACCAGTCGTTGATTTCCTTCACGTCTTTGTTCCTCCCTGCAGCACTTTGGACGGACTCCGTACTGCTGCTCCCGAGCGAGAAGAAGTCCTGCTTCACACGTCCTGGAGACGGCGATGGTTTGAAGCTCAGATCTTCCCCAATTCACATTGTAATCAAGAAGAAACTATTGGTTTAGCAAAGGAAGGTGAACTCACGTCTTGCCATGTAGATGCGAGCGGCCGTGCTCAGGCCTTTTCCAGGCGTCCTGACGGAGACCAGCAGGTCTTTCAGGGTGTTGTGGAGCTGAGGGTCCTGGAGGCTGTGGTACCTCAGGGCCCTGAACAGCTGCCTTTGAGCCTGCTCAGACCCCCCTGGAAGACAGAAAGCTCATCTTTTAGTCTGTCTAAGCAGCTCGGTCTAATGTGAAATGATGAATGTGACTCCTTAAACTGCAGCGATTTTAACGCTTATAAGTCGCAACGCGTGGAAAAAGTTCTGGTATCATTCAGTGAGAAGAGTGTGATGGTTAACGGAGCTTATGTCCCTGGATTATGAGCTCATCTAGAGAACGTTTCCTCTACAAACTGCTTCAGGATGTGTGGAAGCTTCTCCAGGTCAAACATGGCCTTCACGTTGGTGGATAGATGCTGCACCACACATGAAGCCTAATTCCCCAAACTCAGTTTCCGTCAATAAAACCGATCACGTTTGCGCAAACAAACCGCCCACCAACCGAGGCCGGTCGATGCGCCCGTCCACACCGTGAGGGTCAGAGCTAAACTTGTGCAGTTTGTCGTGTGTGTGTCTTGTCACCCATGGAGAGCTGCGTCAGCGCCGCCGACACGCTGATGGGGGCCAGGAAGACGTTGGCGCCGGCATCGCGGCTCGCCATGGCGCGGAACATATTGTAACCTAAGTCTGAGGTGGCGGCGGCTCATCTTGGCGGCGGGCGTGGTGAAAGAGCTCTAGTGCTCGTTCCTCACCTGGCGACTCCTCCCCCTCCGTCGTCGGGGCTGAAACGAAAAGCCATGGGGCGGTCTATTTTGTCATGCCGGGCG